AAAGAAAAGAGTGGTACGGTCAGGGTAGTGGCTATGAGAATGACTCTGTTGCCGGATCTTCATGATGAGATTGCAAAGTGTCAGGTGAAGCTGTCAAGGATGATARCTTCAAGTCTGAACGATTGGGTAAACTGATTTCCACMTTGGAAAAGAATGATAAAGAACTTCWGTGTTTTCAGGRTAGAATATGGGTACCATRCTATAGAAATACCCAWGAAATTRTTTTGAACGAAAGTCATAAATCTCATTATTCTATTCATCCTKGCACTAATAAAATGTATAAACACTTAAAACCAATTTATTKGTGGCCTGGATTGAAGAAAGACATAGCAARGTATGTGGAGYGATGTTTAACATGTTTGCAAGTGAAAGCTGAGCATCAAAGSCCATATGGGAGTCTTCAGTCTTTAAAAATTCCTGTSTGGAAATGGAATCATATCACGATRGATTTCATTATGAAATTTCCTCGAACTCCAAAAGGATATGATGCCATATGGGTGATTGTGGATCGTCTGTCAAAATCTGTGMACTTTCTTCCGATAAAAAAGAATTATCTGTTAGAAAGGTTGRCAAGGATTTATATTACAGAGATTGTGACTAGACATGGAGTTCCGTTGTCTATCATCTCAGAAAGAGATAGTCGGTTTACATCTAAGTTCTAGGAAAGTTTTCAGAAAGCTTTGGGTTCTCAGATTCGGTTGAGTACGGCGTATCATCCACAGACTGAYGGGCAGAGTGAAAGAACAATTCAGACTCTTTAAGATATGWTGAGAGCATGTGTTATAGATTTTGGGGGATCGTGGGAAGATCATCTGTCGTTAATTGAATTTTCCTACAACAATAGTTATCACTCCAACATTCAGGTGGCACCATAAGAAGTTCTCTATGGTCGTAAGTGTAGAACGTCGTTGTGTTGGAATGAAGTGGATGAAATAAAATTAACTGGACCGGAAAWTTTTCAAGTAACTTCTGAGAAGATTGAGCAAATCAGAGAAAAGATTAAAATCACTCAAGACCGTCAGAAGAGCTATGCTAACAGACGAAGTAAGCCGATTGAATTCCTTGTGGGAAATTATGTGATGATGAAAGTTTCACCATGGAAAGGGATAGTCAGATTCGGTAAGAAAGTAAGCTCAGTCCAAGGTATAACGGGCCATTCAGAATTTGTAAGCGACTCAGAATGGTTGTGTATCAACTGGAGTTACCAGAAGAGCTTTGTTTGATTCATAATACTTTCCACGTGTCTAATCTGCAGAAATGTTTGGCAGATCCGAGTTTGGCAGTACCTCTACCAGAAGTCAGGCTAAATAGTAAATTGAATTTTGTAGAAACATCGAAAGCAGTAACTGATCAAAAAATTAAGGGTGCATATCAAGGAGAGGTGTACTTTGGGAAAAGGGCGGCATATCAAAGAGAGGTGTACTTTGGGATAAGGGTGGCATATCAAGGAGAGGTGTACCTTTGGATATAAGGGTGGCATTTGTGTATGTGTTTAATAATATAACTCTTATTTTATTATATCCTTTAAAATTACGATGGCTCTGAGTTCTTATTTCTTTGTGACTTAAAGATTTAGAAACATGGTTCTTATTGGAAATAGTAATAWGGATGTTATTGAGGAGAAGATAACTGGCTTTTAGCCAGAGGCTTTGCATGACCGTGTTTCTGATGAAAATGTTTAGAGATGAGTTATGTGGAACCTGAAAAGTTCTAGCCTGTTTATGCTTAAATAAACTGTTTATAAAGTCAGAGATTGGCTTCGAAAATTAGTGAGGCACTGGTAGATGTGAATTACATGATTATGTATCTGTTTACATGAAAAGTTGATTTTTAATAAAGATTTTGGTGGTCTTCACCCTGCAATTACACGGAAAAAGGGATCTCACTAGACATTTTGGTCTAACCTTCATTTTGTATTTCCAATATGTATTGCAGGAACCGCTAAGTTACATGATGGTAAAGGAAAGGGGAATATGTAATATTTTCCTCTGTGCATATCTGTGTGAAGATCAGTTATGATGAATTTAGTTTTATAAATAATGTTGATCAGTACAAGAACTTGTATTTTGGAATTTTTGGGCTATGTATTTTGTACGATAATTTCTTGTACTTTGGGACCTAGATTGTACAATACATGTATTTYTGTTGAATGAAGTATGTGTTACATGCATTGTGTGATGTGAAGTATTACATCTGATACGGCTATTCGTCCTGGAAATGATGATRATGATAASAACGACGATAATCAAAAYYTGTGTTGGTTCTATAGAAAAARWTTGTAGAAGGTGGAGATGAGTACAAACACAGGAAACTTTTCAAATTTAAAAAATATATATTGATAAAGAAGGATCAATACAGATTTTACAAGATTGTATGCGGAATAAGATAAGGTAAAGATAACCTACCTAAAACAATCTAAGTTACACACAAATGATCTTAGCAAAAAGAAAAGATTTGTTGTTAAGACTAAGAAGGAAATGAGTTCTTTCTGGGTAAAAAAATTTTAGAATACTTGAGAAGGGATTCTGACTTGGTTGAAGATAAGCGTAAGTGTTCTTAGATGTGTGTGTGTGTGTGTTCTTTCACGTATGCACATAAGAATTAAGGTATATCTACATGAAGATAGCACACATCTATTTATACCCATTGCATTAAATGCACATTTAATGCAATGCAGTAGGGTTTGAACACACGTCAAGCTTTTAGAGAAAAGCTTGTCCTTGGCTACAGTGAATAGTACAAAAGCCTATTCATGAGCAGACATTTTTCATTGAGTTGGTGGGTAGTAGAGCCAACTAATTGGCTCCGTACCGTACTATACTCTAGAAAGGGTATGGGTTTGTCCTTTGTGTGTGGAAGGACAAGACAAAAGCAATCTTGCACAACAAGCTTCATTTGATCAATGAATGCTGGAATAACCCTGAAGGTCTTTTCAGCATTCGCTGAGGCTTGGGCAGTCTTCATTCATATGTTGACCAGGTTGTAATCACTGAATACCGCTTCAGATCGCGAACACGCTAGTCTCTAATCTTCAATTTCAGTCTTCGACTTTCGCTGAAGGTTCTTTGGTGTGARTTTTGTCTTCTTGAAGTATCGTTGTCGCTGATAGATTTACAATACATGTCTCAGCGATCACTGAACAGACTTAGTGATGATCGCTGGAACTGAAAGACAGAAACATAATACTTCATAATAGATAAAAAGGATTATCATCAAATCAATGAGAGAGATGATCAACAATCTCCCCCTATTTAATGATAACAAAGCAACATAAAGAAAGTTGCCTTCACAAATAGCAGTAAGGAAAAGTTATATATAAAGTACATGTCCCTTTTGACTGTTTTGGGATCTTTTTCAGTGACTCAGTTTTTACTTAGTAAATTTTCTTAAGTTACAAATTTAAGAAAAGGTATAAGAAGGAAAACTGAAACTGAAAGCATGTTCACTGACTTATAGATTGTCAGTGAATGTAAGAAAAACACTGAAACTCATAGACATGTGTCCCTATTACTCTTTTCAGTGATCTTTTTTAGTGATGTAAATGAAACACTTTTATTAATTTAAAGGAAAATATTTCAAGTAGTTCAGTACATGTCTTAGACTTACAATATATAAGTTGAATAGTGAAAGTCGACATAGAATACAAAAAAATACAGTGAATGGACGAATTACCAATGAAATAACTAATCTAAGTTGTTAAGATTAATGTATCCAGGTACATCTTCTTCGAGCTCCTTTCGACGTCGAAATTCGTTCCTGATCTTGATATCCATCGTTTCACCTTATATGTCATCATTCCGCCAATATAGGATGTATGCAAGATGTTCCATTGGACAGAGATACAAATCAAACATTCTTTGAATGCTGACTTCGCCTTCATAGTCAAGGAAGATGAATCCTAACTCAGGCTTGATGTGCATAGTGTTGCGTATGTAGGGACACTTCGCCGGTAGTGACAGGTTCAACATAAAGATGTATGGCTTCTTCGTAGCCTTCAGGACTTCATCCAAGGAGAACTTTGATTCATTTTCATTCCTCAGGGTTGGTCCGTCATTAGGAATTGAAGTTCTTTTTCATCTTCCACCATTCTTCAGAGTTGGCTTTTCAGGGTACAACGACATACATGGACATCTTCTTGATCAGCTCGATGATGATGTCTTAGATAATCGTCTTATGTCATGATTTTGAGCGCTGAATGGCTTGGCGGATCTCCAGTCAATCACTATAGCCGTACTCGCCGAGGTAGGAAGGATACTCGGTGATAGCATCAAGGTTATCCCTTGTGATGAGCATTAAGACCAGCAACCCACCGTTTTTCATCCGTCCGCTGATGGTGGTGTTTCAAATAGGATGAGGACTGACTCTGTTTTGTAGACAATCTTYGCTCCATTTTCTGTCATGGTCGTCCAGATTCAGTGCTTACTTCCGTTCAGCTTTTGCAATAGAGAGATGCATATCTTGGGCTTGGATAGCATTCACCATCTTTTTGGATTTCTTCCTTGGAAGAACTTTGGCAGCAAGGGACTTGGCCAACTTTAAGTTGTCCTCGGTCTATATTCTTTGAAGGTTTAGTTCTTCTTCGGCCTTGAGAGCCTCGAGTCTTTCAGCTTCAGTCAGAAAGTTGAACTCACCACAACTAGAGGTACGAAGAGAAATTTTTACTCTAGTGTGGTCAAGTGACTCCCTGAGCTGAGACATCTGCTGGTCGGTGGCGCGCTTGGGGATGGGTTTTCAGGGACCCATTCCTCTAGCCGAYTGTAGGTAGTTGTGGGGATAGAGAGTTGGTACATAGAAGTTATGGTGATAAGGCTAGAGGACTCGTTAGATAAAGGTTCTAGAGGTTTGAACAGTACCTTAAGATTGCCTTCTTCAGCAACACCTTTGTCTTTCGACTTGGTGCTCTAGTACTTTTCTTGAGTTGCCTCTTTCTCCCCTTGCTCCCCCTAGGATGCGGAATCCCCAAGGGCGACGCCTTTCGTGGCACTAGCAGGTCTCTGGTACTAAAACGTGAAGTCCTCGTCATCATCGTCTTCATCATCATCGTCATCATGATCATCATCCAGATCGTTGCTAGTGTCAGGAAGGTCGGGAGATTCACTGTCATCTTCATCATCATCTAGATCACCAGTATTAGCTGTAGGGGTGACTTGAACATCATCATCGCGAGCTTCAGTGTCAACTTGGACGACATCAACATCCTCAACTACAGGAGATTCACTAAAAGTTGGAAGGTCATCAGCGACATTAACTTCAGCTTCCGCTTCAGCGTCGGTCGCAAGAATAGCAGTTTCAGGGGCGGCAGCAGCAGCATTGGAGGGAACAGCTTCAGACCTTGTCTCCCCCTCTTTGGCAATAGCTTTGAAGCAATAGCCAAAAAAGTGGTCGACTGTCCGGATTTGGAGCGCCATCATTTCTTCTAGTYGTATAACCGTTGCCTCGYGCGYTTCATCCAGCTGGGCACGGTCATCATYKRTGAACGAGGGTTCAGGCGCTGGAACTGGCTGTTGGAGAGCAGCCAAAATCTGCTGCATCAGCTCAGTATGCTAGGTAAGATGGGAGTTTGCTTCATMGGCCTTKCTTGTTAAAGCAGCGAYGGCCTCAAYAATGGCTTGAACTGCCACTTGCATGTTGGAGAGCTGGYCGTTGACCTCTTGAACTTCARCCCTRACGGYTGAGAGGTCAGCAACTACTTCGTCCCTTCAAGACGTGTCTRTATGGACTTCGTCCATTTTGATGAAAAYCGTCTTGACAGYAGGGAGGAGTAGCTTTACGTCCTCAGCCATGTTGTATGCATCTTCCWTGGCTRGTTCCTCAAAAGGACCTGAAAAAGATGGAGASTGAGCATAAAAAAKCTYGGGGTTAGTAGAAATGAATGGGTAGGAAGATGGAATACYTRAGGCTTYTTTAGCGTTATMTGAAGGATTAAYGCTGGTGTGCTCCATGGTGCATTCGAGGGGATAAGCACTAGTTTGYTGAGTTGCCTCGAGAGGAGCAACCTCAAGTCCAGTGGTGGGTGTCTCATCATCAGGAAGGAYATTCRYTGACSAATCAAAGACACATGTRGAGACCAAAGATGAAGGGGAGGAGAAGATGGATGAGACTGATGGTAGTGGGTGTTCGGCAGTGGYGATGCTRATATTCTCACCTTTAGTGATTTRGGTCACTAAGGCGGTTGRAAGAGGAGCCACGGGTACGACAGTGATTTCAGATATCACTGAAGAGTTGGGAAGGCTGACTGAAAGTGCCTCGGGGGTAAGGCTTGTTTCAATAGTTGAGACCTTTTGAGAGGTCACAGCCAGAGACGTGGTTGTCCCCTTTTTGGCCTTCTTGGCTCTCAAAGGAGAACCAAGAGTTGGTTGAGATGGGYGTTTGGAAGAGAGGGTTGTGGTGGTTGGGTTAGACTTAGGGGGGTTTTCTTTGTCTTGACCACCTAAGAAAGAGAWGAAGAAGGAGGAATTGAAGAACCACAGCAGAAAGTGCAACATCTCCATCCCTTAGCTTGTGATCCAGAATCCTGCATCCAAGCTTGCAGACAGGAAGGTTACCTTCCTTGGAGTATTTTTYGCCAAAGATCTTGGTGAACACCATTGACAGAAAATGGGTGTAGGGAACGACCTTCTCCCTCTAGCGCTTGTTCARCTWCAGCGCMAGGTCATCGAAGATCACTATAGCAAAGTTGATGAAGACCATCACTGAATGCTTTCAAAACCCTTTCATTTTCTAAGTGTTGTCTGGTGAAGGGTTAATTCAGACATAACTATGTCCATTGAAGACCTTATCCAGACAASGMTTGTCCAATGAGGACCTTCTYCGGATAAGACCTGTTCGRTGAAGGCCAATCCRGATATGGTTGTGATCGATGAGAAGGGTATCCRGACACTTCTTGTTAGATGATAATCTTAAAGTATTTTGTAATGTTTTGTCTSCAGATAGATCTTAGACTGATTCATTACTTATTCTTTGTTTAACAATGAGTATTCTTATCATTTAAAGCTTGATCGATGAGCTCGTTTATCATACAAAGCTTTTCCGATAAACCCTCTCTGTTGATCCTAGATCTCTCAATAACACTAAGAACAATTGATAAACATTCAAAGAATATACTTGAGTGTCAAAKGTTTCACTTTATTTCAATGATTGTGAAAAACGTAAAAGAGTCTTWGATTACAATAGGCCTAACCACCTATTTATACTAGTAATCTAGACAAGATGATAACTATCTAGTGAGACTATCTAGCAAATCTYCTAGGGAAAGATAAAGCTTATCTAAACATGGATAATGAACAAAACAAGATAAACTTTGTACAATCCAGCTGTTGATTTGTCATCTCTAGCTGTCTT